TTCTGGATGTTCTGGTCATCCGCAATAATGACTGCAGGATCACCAGGACCAAGCCAGAATGCTCCCACAGTGCAGAGGCTCTCTGCGTAGGCACTGCTAGCTGGGCTGCTGGGTGACAGTCAAGATGGAGAGAAGAAAGAGAGGGAGGGGTTGGGGGGGGGAGAGGAAATCTCCCACCTGACAAGAGAGATGAGAAGAGTCTGGGTGGGGTGGTGAGAGGTGAGGAGAGTGTGCAGTGGGAGCATGTAATCCTTTGTACGGGACCAAGTGGGTTCCATATAATTAGTAGTAGAGTAACAATAATACTAGCCTCTTATTATTGTCGTTGCTGCTCTCCGAGTAGAGTTATCAGGGCCCTGCCTTTCCATTCATGCTAGGTGTTTGCGTATCCTACTAGGTAGTGAAGCCTGTCACTGAAGGCAGATCCTTTTGCAGGGCCATGTGGTAGCAATTTCAGTATGGGTAGAGGTGAGGGTAAGACAACCTCCAAACCTGGCTCTGAGTGCTTGCCGAGCACGTGGGAGGACCTTGACGGTAAGTCCTGGAGGCCCCTGGGTAGCCCCAGTCTCTGACTTCTGCTGCCCGTAGTATTATTTACTCTCAAGTGGAACCCAGTCAGAACTTTCCCTTCTCCTACCGCCATGAGCCTTCATTAAAGTGATGTTTTCCTGTCCCCTGTGTGTCTTACTAGTCCACCCTTATCTCTCTCGTCTGAGCTTCCATTTCCTGCAGTACTTTCCCCACACCTTCTGCCAGTTTAAGCATCTCTTCTCCTCTCCAAGTAAATCCCACTTTGCCCCCTCCAGGAAGCTTTCCCAGCTTAATGCCTGCCCTGTGAGCACCATCCCATTCTGCATCAGTTCAGGGTACGTGAGTGCAGACACTGACGTGGGGGAGCATTGCTTGATTGTTCGTGGCTTTTTTCCATGTGAATTCTGTTAGAGCCATGGGCAGGACCTATTCAAGCCTAGCAAAGAGCTTCCCAGGCTTTGGGAGTTGTCCTAATGGAGCACATAAAAGCAGTGTGCCAGGCTGTCAGTTTCTCAGGCACAAGGCAGATAGAGGCATCCCAGAGCAGGACCAAGGGGCTAGGTGAGTGCTGCCCCTCCCCACATGCCAACTTAGCACCTGGGCCACGTCTTGTTCATCTGTACAGCATGCCAGGAGTCTTTGAGCAAGTGGAACAGTTTCCTACCGTGCCTGGGAAGGACACTGAGGCCACTAGGGAGATGATTTGCTGCATCTAAAAACAAAACAAACCAAAAAAGCCTGTTACATCATGAGCTTTTAAAAGAAAAACACAAGAATAAAGCAAAATAAAGCAACCCACAATTAAAAATGCAGTGGAGCGATTGCATTTCCTTCAGAGGAGAAAGCACTGCAGGAAGGTGGTAAGCAGAGCAGCAAACTGTTGGTTGTGCCCACTCTCCCCTGCCAGTGCCCCCAGCATGACCAGGGTAAAGGAAAGCTGTGCTGCCATGGGAACCTACATCTGGAATAATTCATTTTGATCCCACAGAAGCTGTGTGTGGGTGTGAGCACGTGTGTGTCACAGGATCAGGGACTGTTCCTCAGGGAACCTCTGTTTCCAGCCCTATCCCATCCTGCTCCATTATCCTCAACTTGGGTCCCTTCTCTGGGCTTTCTTCTGTTCACATTCCCCATTGTCCCTTTTAGCTCTCTTCTTGTGCAGGCCCACCTCACCCTTATAGCCTTCCCATGGGCTGAGACCCACCTTTGGGCACCTCCAGATGATCCCTGTTTGTCTCCTTATCTCTCACTGACACGCTTCCCCATCGATCCAGAGAAACACCATGCCACCGTGGCACAGTCTTTGTGCCCCAGACCTGTGCCCCTCAAAATGTGTTCCATAGATGATCCCCTTATTGCCTAAGAGAAAAATGACTTTTCATCAATAATTTTGGAAATACTGTATGTTATAGCTCCTTCTTAGAGATTTGTAGTTTTCATTAAAATGCATATCCATTAAACATAAAAAAGCATCTCCAAACTATAAAAAAGCATCTCCAAACTCATTCCCTTAAGAAAATTATGTGCACATAATAACCTCTTGCACAACAATTGTTACATGAACCAAACTTTTGGTATGATCCCCTCTATTTTTTTTCACACTTCCCTCCTACCCCCTGCATCTTTTGAAATTACACTAATTGTACTTGACTCCCCTGAAAGATGCCAGCACTATCCCTTTACCAGGTCAGTTGAGAAGCCTTAACCCTCCCGACTCCTGGCCTTGCTTCCTCCCAGCCCTGTCCTGTCCTTCCTCAAAGGAAGGTGACCATTTCCATTTATATCATCTCCCTTTCTTTATTCTCTGTAGTCCTATCCTGTAGCTCCTGGCACCAAAGCATTGCATAAGTGGGCAAGTGGTGGGTATTTGATGAATAAGGGGATGTTGCTTTTGAAGATCCTGCCACCATCTCTGTCACCTTTTCAAAATATGACTGTTCTTGTTTCCCAGTCTCTGGAATCCACTTCCATAATGTACGTTGCCCTTAGCATTCTTTGTCTCTACCACTCTGTGTAATTTAAACAGCAATTATTGATCAAATCTTGTAGTTCCATGACTGCTCAGCCTCCATGGCACCAACATCTGCCCCTACCATCACCACCAGAGCCAAGACCTTGGCTCTTGATGTATCTGTCTATGGCCTTAGCCTCTTTCCTTTGACCCTCTGACATTCCTCTATCAGTTAAGAGCGTACAGCTAGCAGAAAAACCAAACATGCCATTCCCTTTTACCTGTCAGCTCATAAACCAGCAGGATGTTTCCTGCCCTGGCTGGTCTTTCCCCTATACTCCATGCATTAACTCTATTTTGCCTTCACTCAAGACAGAGCCTAGCATTGACACCTATCAACAGAGTTCTCATTATGTCCATACACTGCCACCGATGCATGCCACCTACTCATGCTGTTCAGTCTCTAGGGAAGCTCTCCACTAGGGTGCACTCTCTCCCAGCATCTCAAGCCTACCCTCACCTTTGGCAGGTGATCTCATCACCTGTTATACTTAAGGAACGATTTCCCCCAGACATTTTGGACTTCTCTCTTACAATATTACTTGTTTTCTTCTCCCTCTTTGAGTTCTCTCAGCCTGTCTCTGAAAGGGCAGGGGCAAGACCCCTCCTTTTATTTGCTCTGTGGCCCTGCTCCATATCTATTCAACAAAATGCTCTTCTTCATCTCTGTATGTTTTTCCTACACTCTTGCAAGGGTTTTACTTTCAGAAAAATACCCAGTTTGACCAGGGAGAGGTCTGAATTTCCCCAGATATTCTCCTCTGAGTCCCTATCTCTGGAGGCTTCCTCAACTATGAAACTCCTGTCTCCAGAGGCACAGCTGGCCCTTGCTGGAAGATAGAGTGCCAGAAACCCTCTAAGTCTCTGTCAGCCATTGCCACTCATGGTGCTCCATGAGTGCTACTGTATGAAGGTCAGGAGGAAAGTAATAGGTGCCTTTAAAAACACCCAACAGTGAATGAGGGGTGGGTGGGGAGGAAGTGCACGGGACTATCTATGGTGATGGCACACGGGTGACTTGGTGATGGGAAACCCGTGGGGATTACAATTGAGATGAAAAATGCAAATGACAAATGTACAAAATGATGTAAAAATAAACTTTAAAAAAAAAACACTCAACAGTGAAAATTCTTAGGTGAGATCAAGGCTGAAGAGAGAGGTTAGGAGCATGGGAAAACCTCCCAGCTCTTGGGAAATCTTCCATTTAATTCCCCTGCGTCCTTTTCTTTATGCAGAGGCAGTTGGGAAATGGATTCCAAGGCAGATGAGATGGGGGCGGTTATCAGTACTAAGAACCAGGGTCTGTGGTGTGGAAGCCTGGAGCTGTTGCTGTGGAGCCCAGCTCTGTGGCATCTGTATACCAGTCTGCCCTGGAGGAGGGCAGGGAGTGTGCCAAGACACTTTTTCACCAGGGCCAAATCCATCAGGGACTTCATCTTGTTGGATCCTTTCCTCCTTGCAACCTCCTTGTTTACTTCTTAGTAGTATCCTGAAGTTGCATGAATTTTGTCTGTCAAACCACCCTTCTGTCTGTGTGGCTTGTGGACCCCACAATTAGAGGGAAATGTTATTCATGAGTTCACACTTAATAGGGGTCCCCACATCATTTTGTGCCTTTTTCCATCTCAGTTGTAATCCCCCTGGGCTTTCCATCACCAGATTACCCGTGTGCCATCTCCATAGTCCAGTGCACAGTTCACTCCCCCCAATTTTTGATCCCATTCCCCCCCCACATAAAATGTCTCTGCTATATCATTGTTCATTATTATTATTATTTTCTCCTCCAGTCCTTTCTACTCCTGCTATAAGTGAAACCATCAGTATTTTTCCTTTTCTTTCTGGCTTATTTCACTAAGCATGATCCCTTCCGGCTCCAGCCATGTTGCTGCAAAAGGCATGAGTTTATCTTTTTTAGTTGTTGAGTAATATTCCATTGTATATATGTACCACATCTTTTTAATCCAGTCATCTACTTTTTGGCATTTGGGTTGTTTCCATGTCTTTCCAATTATAAATAAAGCAGCAATAAACATGGGGGTGCAGGTGTCTTTTTGAATCTGTGTTTTTGTGGAGTCATATGGCTCCAATTTTAGCAGTTTGAGAAACCTCCAAACAGTTTTCCTTAGTGGTTGTATTAGTTTGCATTCCCACCAACAGTGCAGGAGTGTTCCCTTTTCTCCATATCCTTGCCAATATTTGTTGTTGCTAGTTGTTTGAAGATGTGCCATTCTCACTGGTATGAGGTGATATCTCATTGTGGTTTTAATTTGTATCTCTCTATTAGAAATGATGTTGAACATTTTTTCATATGCTTGTAAGCCATTTGCATTTCCTGAAAGAGGTCCTTTTTTTTGAAGGACTTAGCTTTCAGCATTTTTGGTGTGGGACTGGCCCAGTCAACTCCTCCTCCCTCTTGCCCTGTGGGTCCACTCTGAGGGGTGTCAGGCAGCTGCTTGGGATGCAGAAGTATGATGGTGTGTAATAGGCAGTGACTATAAGGATTTGGTTACTTCACCTTATCTTTGTCCCCGTCTCATCTTCCTGAGAATACTTGGTCTTGCTTCCTAATTATAGCATCCATTAATGACTAATCTCAACCAGAGAATAGTGAATAGAAAGTTTGTAAAATTGAAGAAAGAAAAAGCAACCATGCAAAAGCCCATCACTCTAATAACAACAATGATCATCTACTTGTACTTCTTACAGCTCTTTTTTATATGCAGTATTTAGAAAACATTTTTAATCATCTTGTGCACATATGCATTTGTGGTGATTAAGACTTTGAACATTCTTATTTCCGATACAGATTCATGCACTTCTCCAGCAGGAGGACAGGTGGCACCTCAGGAAGGCAGGTTGTGGGTTCTCTGCTCGTGTAGAAAGCAGTTAATCTTAAAATCTTCTAGAATGCTGTTGTGGATGGATGAGTGCATGAAGGACTTCTCACCCTAGTAATCAGTTAATCCTGAGCACTCCCACTTTACAGAAATCTGGAGAGAGAAGTGAATTGGAGGTTACATTTCCAAAGACCATAGCATTTTCAATGACTTGTTTTCTCAATAAGAACTGTTAACACCACTTTTATCATTCCCTCACATCTGCAGAGAGCTTTACTTCACAAAGGGCTTCCCCAGTGCCACCTTATCAGTCCTCCCGCAGCCTTGTAGTGTGATTGTCATTAATTTCATCTGCATTTTGTAGATGAGTCATGAGAGAGGTCAAAGTCTCAACCAAGGTCCTCTAGCCAGAATCCATACCTTATCCTAAGCAGTGACCACTGGACTTCTCTGGGCACCATATGTCTGCCTGCTTCATTCACCATTCAGATATAATTCTTTTTTCCTCCCCTTTGGCACCCTTTCTGGCTTGTTTTTTTTAAACTTTCTCTTTTTCTTCCCTGCAGGGGGTCGTGATAAGCGGGGTGGACCCATCCTGACCTTCCCTGCTCGAAGCAATCATGACAGAATAAGACAGGAAGACCTTCGGAAACTTGTGACCTATTTGGCCAGCGTGCCAAGGTAAGGTGAGAGGGCAGTCCTGTAAGGGAGGGGAAGGGAGCTGGCCAGATGTAAGTGAGTTAGAATGCGCCTTCATCCTGGGAGGCAGCCCTGGTTGTGTTTGCCCTCAGAATGGATTCTGGTTATTCCTGGAACATTGCACCTACTGTTTGCCTCATGCCCACACTTCCTATTGTTACTACTGGGATTTCCATGCATGAGTGGGAGTTATGAGATCAGGTGAAGACCAGAACAGAGCATGGAACAGGGAACAGTGTGGCTGTGGGAGGAGGGATGGGAAACTGCTACCTACCTTGGGGAGATGGGAAACCCAGTTAACCCCACTCTGGCTTGTGACTTTTAGAGTTTGTGGTAAAATAACTCCACTGTGCCATTCAGTTGAGTCTGTTGCTCAGTCTAGGTAGGCATTTTCGATGAGGTAATATTGCACCCAAGAGGAGATGAACATTGTTTTTTGGGGACAAAAGAATTACTCCTTTATGTATTAGGCATAGATAGACATATGGCAGAACATGTACAGTATATTTGTGATACTAAAACTTTGCTGGGTTGATGATTAAGGAAAAAACTTATAATATGTCTCTTTTGGAACAGAGGACAATGGCAATTTTAAAAAGGTTGAGAAACATTTTCTGAGTGTCTTTGGATAGTGCTGGCCATGGTGGTGGGTGGAAGGAGACATGTCAAGGACATGGCCTATATCGGTTAACGAAGGGAGAGGAGAGGTCTTCATCTAGTCAAACAGTCACAGACTGTGAGATCCAGAAAGGTTCTGAGAAGTAAAGTAGGCAAATATGTGTCATACTCTGTTTAGGAAACAGGGTCCGAATGGGCTAGTGCAGAGCTTGCCAAGAACTCTATCTCCTTGACCTGTGTCCCAGTTCTACCCCCAAAACCCCTCTCCACCACTGAGGACTCTGCTCTCTGTCTCTCATTGGGGCCACAAGTGCTCAGGTATTTGTTGTGGCAAATAAGAAGTGACTTTCAGAACCAACATCTGGTCTGTGCATTTTAGAGGAGAATTAGTAAGTTATAGAGAGGAACTATGTATTTAGCCTTTGCTGGGAAACCTTGGATAATTGTTCAGTGTGCTGATTAAATTCTTGAAGTAGGTGTCAAATAAGGCAAGCACTACATTTTAAAGAATGATAGGCAAGACAGAAGTGACGGAAACTGGTGAATGGTGATGGGCCTGTGGTAAAGGGGATTTAAGAGCAGCATTAAATGCTTGGAAAGATGTTGAACAGAATGGGGAGATGGGGAGTCCTGAAGAGCTTCAAGCAGAAGGCTGTGAATAAATAAGTGTTGAGTGATGTCTTTTTTTTTTTTTAATTATATCCACTGGGGACCAATAAAAAAAAAAGATTAAAGGACTTAACGCCAATGAAAGGGACTTGATTTATCATCAAAAAAGAACTTGTAAACTTCGAGTGCATGAGATTTTTTTTACTGAAGAATAGAATACAGTTTTTTTTTTTTTTTTTACTAGAGGTCTTTATAGGGAGGAAATATTCCCATTGTTTCAGTGGCAAGGTGATGGGCTAAATAGCCATGATTGAACTAGGTAATTTAGCAATTTAGCCATGTAGGGGTTAGACAGTTTGAAATGTGCCATGCCTTGGTATAATACTAACAAGCGTATTTCATGGGAGCCTGTGCTGGACAATCAGTTCTTTTAGAGCCAGAAGAAACTAGGATCCCAGGAGCCAGGAAGGCTACATTTTCCTTTGGGTATATTTATTACCCTACAGCTAATGCATGCTCATCTTTTCTTTAGAATGGAAAGTGGGAGTTGGAAGAACACTTTTCTTCACCCTGACTTTTTAAGTCAAGATGGAACAAAACAGATTGGAAACAACTGAAAAGGAATTGATTCCTGCTGGGTGAAGGGGAGCAGAACTTAAGAGAGGCTGTGAGGAAGATCTTGAAAAAAGCAGAAACAGTACATTATCATTGAGGGAACACACGAGATGCAAGTTCTCTGCTTCTCTGAGGGTGGCCACAAGCTTTGCGCCCTGTGAACTTGAAAACACAGAGGTTCTTCTCAGGTTCTGGCAGGTGGGGGGCAAAGCTCCTGTTGCATCTTCCATGGGAACAGTTGCCCTGGGGTTCCTGCTGTCTTCCCCCAAGGGCTCTGTGTTCATCAGCAATGACTGTCCGGCAGGCTTCAGAGTTTGCTAACTAGCCATGCCCATCTGTCACTTCTAGTTCTGTTGACCACATACTCATACACAGCAACTGTCAGAAACGAAACCTGGAACAGGATTGTTCAAAAGATGATGAAGTATGGGGAAGGAAACTGAAGAAAAGAGTGGGGCAGATAGCTTTTGACAGTCTAATGCTTACTCATGACCTGGGCAAGGAAGGTAAACAATGAATAGATAAATCAGTCAATGAGACTGAGTAGAAGAAATTATTTTGGGAATGGCCCAGGAGGCTGGGGGTGGGGGCAGGAAGAGAAGGATCTGCTCTACAAAATGGTATGATCACCTGTAGGTGACATGGAATCTGTGTGTGTTCATTTTTTACTAAGCAGGTACTTAGAGCCTCTATATGCTAGGTAGTTTGAAAAATAATGGTGACCACACACAGGCATTTTGGGAAAGTTTGAAAAAACCTGAATATGTCCCTACCCAATGCCAAACCAATGACCATAAAGAGTAGGCAATGTGTGACTAATAGCATAGATGACCTTGCTAGTGGAAGGCAAGAAAATAGGAGCCAGTGAATGCTGAAAGAGGATACAGAACTAAGGATCCATTCTAGAATAAGTAATTAAACACATGGTTATGGGAATATTTAGGAATTAATGGGACTAGTCCTGCTGTTCTTTGTGAAGACCAGGTCATGTCTGGACTGTGGTGTCACTCATACTTTAGGAACTGTGTTGACCAGTTAGAGTACTGTCAGGGGAGCAGCAAATTGAGGGGTCCATACACTATGTCTCTATAGAGGAAGGAATGAAGGATGCCTGCTTGTAGGAATATAAAGGAAAGAAAAGTGATTTCCTGACTTCAGGTGTCAGGAAAGCTGCCCCAATAACAGGGAATAAGCGTGGTCTCCATTGCTTCAATGGGTAGAAATGAGAGAGATCAGGAGATAATCTGACCTGAAGAGTACTCTGTCCACATGGAATCTGTCCAGCAGTGATACTGCTGCCCCTGGCATAAGTGACCTTCCTGTCTCTAAAGTTTGAATGACCTGCTGTTAGGGGTTCTGTAGAAAGAATTCCTCCACTGGCTTGAAAAATGGTTACATAATTTCTAAGAAGCTTTCCTGTCCAGATTCTGTGTTTCTCTAAAGCTGGAAAAAAAACAGACCCCATAAAATCTGGTACCTCAAAACAAAATACTAGCCCCTTCAACATATATTCCCTTTCTCAGGCACCCTAAGTAAGTCTAGAATTTGACTTCACAAATCAAAAGGGAACTGCTTCCTAGTCCCTTTGGGTTCTGAGTGGGAATTTGGGGGACATCACATGGGTCAAGGATCATCCTAGGTTTGACAGTCTGGAATAATCCCAGTTACTCTTGGAGCTCGCTTCAGCCTGAGATGAGCCAGCCCCTTCTGGCTTCCCGTTTTGTTCCTTGTGAGTTTGAGAATCTCTCTCCTGACTCCTCTCTAAGCTTTCTTTCTATTCTGAGAAGTCATAGACTATCAGGTCAGTAAGAGTCTTTAAACTCTTCTAATTCAATTTTCTCACCATTTACTTAACTCAATAGATATTTGTTGAGTGTCTGCTATGAGCCAGGGCCTGAATAGGGATCTGGGTGAGTTTCTGTCACTATTATTTATTTTCTGATTGTCATCCATTCTCTACTTTTCTCTTTACCTGCTATCTGCTTGCTTTTACTTTTATGTGTAAGAGGTGGAAAGGAGATATTAGATACAATCAGCTGATGAATATCCCTAGAAATTGAGAGACAGGATAAAAACAGCTAACCCAAGAGTAAACAATTATCCCTATGTTACTCCCACTAGAGATCATCTATTTACTGTTGTTCTGGGAGTTGACCATATGCTTGAAAGAGGAATTTCTAAGTGTCTGGTAAAGAAATCTAGGTAATTTTTATGGCATTGAATTTCTTCTTCTCATTTTCATTTACCCTGCTTTGTCATTACCATTTTGCTGCTGATCCTAAGGGCACCAATTATTAGCCTTTTGATGTATCTGCCACTTAACTCTGCTCTTAGCAGCACTGCGGAGATGCTGAGCATTGCAGTAAAGAATGCAGGTGTCATAACGATGAAGAAGGATGACAAGAAATTAAGATGGGGTGTTCTCTCAAGAATATTCTCAAGCCAAGGTGCTAGTATGCACAGCTTATTACTTGATAATATTTGCTCCTAAATTCAATGAAAGCTAAATTGGGCTTATAGCCAGCAATGTCTTTATGCAGCACCACCAGGAAAATAGGAATAAGTAGAGAAAAACCAGAAAGACAGTTAAAAGATGAAGAGGTAAAAACTGCAAGCATTTCCTACCTCTATATTCAGCTTGAAAGCGGCTAAGTTAGCCAAAGTGCCATCACTGAATATGTTTTGTTACAAGCGCCTTTTGAGATGTGTTATTGTGTTCTGCCCTTTGGTCTGGGATCATTGATTAAAAGATGTGGGAAATAGTGATGGAAGTTTCCAGAAAATAGAATGTATTCAGAAGGGCAAATGGAAGCTATTTGGTACAAAGTGAGACCTTGGACATATTATTCAGCATTTCTGAGTCTGATGTTCTGACCTAATATGGGAAATGAATGTTCATCTCAAAAGGGTGTCTGTCGGGTAGAAATAATCTAGCAATCTCACTGTAGCACCCAGGACACTTGTTCATCTGTCTTCTACGGGCATACATAATACTGAAGAAGAAGTAGAATAGACATATATGTACAAGAAATTTGTTAGATATGAAGGACTCCATGTAATGGGCTGTAAGTTATGAGCATAACAATACACTGAGAATCCACTTTTCAACTTCAAAGGAAGAACATCACCTCTGCCTTTGA